CTTGATCTTCAATTGAATTTCAATTCAATCTTCATATGAGCATCTTCAAATATTCAAAGATTCGTTCTTCATATCTTCGAATCTTCAAAGTCTTGTTCTTCAGATCTTCGAATCTTCAAGCTTCATTCTTCAGATTTTCGAACGTTCTTCAACTTTTGGATTTCTTTTATTAAGAATCGACGAAATCACGAAGGATTATTCATATATTCTTAATAAAATTCGTGGCTTGATCTATTCCTCTTCTTCGGAATCGTTCAGAGCCTTTCGGGAGTTCTTGAGAGCTTTTCTGCAACGTTTCTTCGTCTGAAAATTCTCTCCTCCTTCCTCTAAACTGAGACCCCTATTTATAGGTGTGAAGGGGATAAAATATGGCCTAGGGTTGAAGAAATTCGTCCATATGCCTAGGGTCTTAATGAAAATGGGCTTTGGGCTCTATTTCTTGCATTTGAATAGCTAGAAAAATCAGCACTTGTCCGATGTATCTGGACTGGCTTTTTAACAAGGTTCGTAGCCATTTTCCATGCATACGGATGGATTCCTTAACCATATTCATTGCTCTCTTTATCAATTGGATCATGACTCTTATTCATTGGGCTACTATTTAATAATGGGCTCAAAATAAAGAAATTAATAGGATCGGTCCATTCTTTTAAAGATTTAATTTATAATTAAATTAATTGGATATTTAAATGACCCAAATTAATTTAATCATTGCATTTTATCCGAATGGGTCCATATTAATATTTTATAAGGTTCAACAACCACCACAAGCATCCCAGTGGAGTCGACGTTGGCTCAATACAATTCAAAAGAAGCCCAAAATGATTGAGAATAATCTGGTAGATTTTAAAGAAGTCCAATAATCATCACAACCGGCCCAATAAATTTTATATGTCCACAACATGTGAGGGAGCATGTAAAATGTGCAACTGTCATGATCTAATCAATTTGAAATTGAGTCAAGTTTTTTCTCGTTGAGTTTGCTTTAATGAATATCGCGCAATTTAGTTTTCATTAATCCATCAAAAATCACATGACCAAGTGGGAGAATGTTAGAATATATTTGGGTAATAATTAATATTCTAATATTGATCACGTAATTGGAGTTATATATTATTAATAAACTTCATATAATCTTGAACTTTTAATTGGTTTAATGATATGTTGAACCTATCTTTAATTCTGTCTATGACTATGGTTCCCCAACTCTCTTCTATGTCTTTTTATACATGCATATATTCTCTATCGAATATCAATACAATATAATTGAAAAATCTCTACATGCCGAGAATTTCATATGGAAAGAGGTCAGAGAAAATAAGGTATTTATTCTTATTCATTAATATATCATAGATCTAGATATTCTTATATAACGTTGATTTTGGAATTTGATCTTACAATTGTTGTCATTGTTTTTGTTGCTATTGTTGATGTTACTGTTTATGTTTTTCTTGATGTTAAAAAAAATTCTCTAAATAGGAGTAAAGAGTTTTGGAGTTCCAAAATAGAATTGCTATATATTTTTTTTTTGCGATTAAAGAATTGCTATATTTTTATTTCCTAAATAGAAGTAATTGTTGTCAAGCGTCAAAAATACTGCCATTATTGACAGTATACTGTTATGTTTAACGCTTGGTAAAGCCAAACATGATAGTTTATTTTCAGAATGACAGTAACGTACTTCTATTCAAGAAATAAAAACAAAGTCGTTATATTTTGAAATTCGTCAATGTTTCTACTCCTATTTCATGGATTTTCCCTTACTATTATTATTACCGTTACTATTACCATTACTACTCCTTTCGTACTAATTTATTTTACAAAATTTCTTTTTTCGGTCATCCCAAAATGTTTTTCCACTTTCTATTTAAAATAAAGGGAAATGAATAAAATGACACATATGTCCTTGGACTTTATTTACCACAAATGCTAAAGGTACCCCAAAATGTACCTCATTTTTACCCTCACCCCCTAATGTGTGGCCATAAATGAGACAATTCATTTAAGTGGGGCACCACTTAAATGAATTGGTCCATTTATCACCACACATTAGAAGTTGGGGTAAAAATGAGGTACATTTTGGGTACTCCTGGCAAAACTCTTTATTTACCCATGTACAGAGATTAATTCCCAACCACCCATGTACGTCTCCCTCTTTGTTCCCCTAAATATTCCAGTTTCAGATTTGAGTGAGCTTCATAAACCTTAGTGCGGACGGAGTATTTCAATTATCTTCCAGATTTTAAAGACGATGAGAGGCCCTGGGAATCGGCCCTAGGAGCCAACGCCGAGGCGTGTGAAGCACGGAGCTACTGAAGTCCGCTCTGTAATTGCTGGATTGGCCACCGACGGTGGCGTTGTTCTCGGCGAGTGGAGACTCCGGGTAGGGTATTCTCGCCGGATTCCGCATCAAGCTGCTACGGCGTGAAGGAGAGGGCCTTCTGGTATGTGGCCAGAGGGCGAAGAAGATGGTTCTACTAATCAGAAGCTGAAATGGGAGAAGAGAAAACGGAATCCCCATGTGATGAGAAGAGAGCAAAGGGTGGAATTGAAACCGCCATTGTTGTTCGGTTGAAAACAACAAAGATAAGTGAAGAGATTCGGTTTCAACTTCGAAAAACGAAGTACTCCTGTAGCAATTGTACTTGATGCTTCAGTTTTCACGTAACGTTTGAGATTTTTCCTTTCTTTCTATAAAAAGATGACAGTCCTGAGGACCCCGATCCCGATCGGACTGTACGTTGGGGGATGTATATTGGACTCTAATCACAATCTGAAAGATAAAGAGTAGGGCTCTGTCTGCTGTACTTGCAGAAATCCTATGCATTTTTTTAGCATAGTAACCTCTCATCGCAGTTATCGAGATTCGAATCCGAGACCTAACCCTTGTGGCACTCCCTCGCTACCAGTTGAGCTACGCCCACCGGTTTCCTTTCTTTTGATAAAAAAGATGGTAAAGCCAGATTTTATTTCTATATTTCCTTAATCCTTGTGACGGCCAAAATTTGCACTTCAATTCGGGACATAGGGAGTATTTGTTAAGATTTGATGTTACATTCTAAAAGGTCAACCTGATAGGAAGAGTGACATGGATCTTAATATAGTGTTTAATTGTTTCAAATGCATCTGGTGTGGCCACAATGTGGGACAACAAATTATCATCATCATCATTATTATTTACGAAGTATTATTTATTTTCCATTCAAAAAAAAATATTACTCCCTCCGTCCTGAAATAATTGTCTCACTACCCTTTTCGGTCCGTCCCGAAATAATTGTCCCATTTTGAAACCTTCCTTATTTAGCAAACAAATCTATACAAAACAGTATCAAACAGTATGAAACAGTGTCGCTACAGTGTCAAACAGTGTCACTACAGTGTAAAGCCAAATTAATTTCTTAATAACCGTGAAAAGTCAAATGGGACGATTAATTTGGGACGGAGGGAGTATTTATTTTAACTCCAATGACCAATATCATATATCGTCTCATTTTGATCAACCTCAATCTCTTTTAGGGTTGAGATAGTGATGGACTAAACCGGGCCGGCCCGACCCGGAACCGGCCCGTTACTATTTGGGCCCGGACCGGGACCGGGACCGGTTGGTCGGTTTCGGGCTTTTAGCCCGTTTGGGCGGGTCGGGTGGGCCAGGCTCGGGCCCAACTTTTGGTGAACCGGCCTGGGCAGTTCGGGCCGGGCCCGGTTTAATTTTTTTTTTTTGTATTTTCAATTTTTTTGCTTTTCTAGGTTAGGGTTGGGTGTTTGGGGGGGGGGGTTGGGGGTGGGGGTGAAGGGGGGGTCGGGTGTTAATTAGAAATCAAAAAAAAATTGAACTTGACCCGAGCCCGACCCGGTTAGGCCCGGACCCGGTATCAACCCGGGCCAGTTCCGGGCCCAACATTTTACAAAAAAAGCCCGCTCGGGCCCGGCCCGGAACCGGAACCAGACCGGCCCAGGTCCATCCCTAGGTTGAGATTTGGATGTTGTTGTTGTGAAATATAATACTCGAACCAACATTTGAAATGAGGCTACGGTCAGACTTTGGAATCGCCCGAAGTCCATTGCCCCTAAGAGAGATACATTAATTCAACTCCTTCCTGTATCAGGTTAATTGTGAATGAGAGAATTCCCTAAATAGGAGTAAAAAAGTTTTGAAATTCCAAAATAGGAGTATCATATTTTCTATTCCTTGAATAAGAGTAAATTTCTGCCAAGTTTGGCATTACTAGGCATTACTCCGATTCAGATAATAAAAAACATGATACTCCTATTTTGGAATTTCAAAACTTTTTTGCTTCTATTTAGAGCAATTTCTAATTGTGAATTTGTTGGCCAATTTTGAGCTAATTGTCAAGTGCCGAATGTGACGTCGTGTACCGTGTCATTTAATTTTACTTCGTTTATAGAAGTAAAGTACTGGGCAAAAATAAGTGATAAATGAAACTATTACTACCGAGTGATCATCATAATAATTATAGTGACTTGTGAATTTGAGAGTATATTCAATTTTACTGTCTATTCACATAGTAACAATAGCCATATACCGAGTTATTACATTAGTATTTTAGAATGAAAAAAATACAACTAGTGAACATCATACTATCGTAGCAAGCTTACAAAACCACGGTTAAATTGATGTTTTTTATAGGAATGACCACCTCAATCACAGTACCACATGAAGGAGGCTGATGTTGAACAGATAGATTTTGCAAAGTCGTGGCTAAATTGAAAATTGTAAAACACTTAGGCCAAAATCAAAACAAATACTCCCTCCGATTCCTAAAGAAGTTCCACATTTGACTTCACACATCTTAAGAAAATAAATTTGACTTTACTGTGGAGTGCACTGTTTGGCACTGTTTGAACACTGTTTGGCACTGTTTGACACTGTTTGACACTGTTTTGATGTAGATAATAAGGAAATGTTTGAAAGTGGAACTTAATTTTGAATCTGCCCGAAAAGGAAAGGTGGAACTTGTTTCAGAAACGGAGGGAGTAGTAAAGAATTCAAGTATGGGAGTTGGGCCTTCTAGGCCAAACAACAAATTCGTGTCTCAACATTACAACAAAATGAATAATTGCGTTTTGAATAATAAAGAAAAAGTTACAACACAACTCCCCCTACGGCCCACCCCGCCAATGTACTATGGATGAGCAGTGGCCTGTATTACATCTCAAATTCACAGGTAAAATGACTTCTTTGACATATGTAAAATTTACATTATAGGGAACTGAAACCACTGATAAAGAGTATCACCAAGTATGTATGTATGGTATGTATGAAGAGATCATAAAAATGGTGGTTCATTTGAACACTAAGTTGTGACAAGTCTTGCTGCCACATGGGTACGCACAATCGGTGTATTTGGTAGCAACGGCTCGTTCAAAATACCAATCCCCTACGGCAAGTGCAATCGCCTGCATTTTGTGTGCAAATCAATGATATCTAAATGGTAAAAATGTAGCACAAGTATATAAAGTATTCATACAATAATAAACCATACAACTACGGAGTGGTTTTTTTGTCATGTGTTGCTTCTTAACTCGTCAACTTGAACTAAAACACATTCAAGGTTGTCAAAAAGCTGCAAAGTACATTTTCACGACACTGCTTTCACTTTACCCGACTGTTGTGTTGTGTACTTCAGTCGAACTGTACCCCCGAATATATTGAATGCACTTGGGTACCAATGGAATGGAATGTGCAGTGAATTGGATATTATTATTATTGAGATATACTATTATTACGCTTATATTATTCGGTTAAGGTGAAATAGGTGATAAGGAAATATATAGCAGATGTATGTGGACAATATTTTGTGCTTGTAAAGAATAAAATAGTGAGGATTTTAACGTGGTTTCTACTTTTATGGGTTCTATCCCAATTCCTACTTCCTACTCCTTGCTTCTCCATTTCCCTCCTACTACACAAATAGCACAAAGTCAACCGTATATATCTCTTTTTCACTCATCCTCTATTTATTTCTTACCTAAAGTAGACGACAGCTAAGACTGCAGTGGTTGGCTCATAGGTACAGGGATCGCAGAACTGCCCGCGATTTCCGATCCGGATCGCGAGTACTGGATCGCGGTACAATCGCGTTCAGATCACTTGAGGTTCGCGTTTCTGGTACGTCGGATCCTGGTGGCAGTTTACGTGCTTGTTCCAGCGGGTACGCCGATTCCAGGTTGCTGTTCGCCGTTCCCTCCAGCGCCCAACGAACCGGCAATCCAACAGTCTTGATTTTGAATTGTTTTTTCGAACTCCAAGCCATGGTCGGTGACTGACGAGCTTCACAAGTACGAACTTCGTACCTTAAAAAATTAAACGACCCGACCCCTGAATTTGATAGTGTGAAACGACTTTTCATTCGTATTGCACACTTCACAGTTCACCCAATCACACTTATTTAAAGGCCTTACCTCAGTACTCAGCGTATCAGACTCTCTGCACCTCTCTACTCTATGTTCTCTACTTGCATCTTTGCCTCAGTATTCTTTTCTTCAAAATGGTATTTGACAAGCGTAAATTGCTAGAAACACAGTCCGATGATATCACAGATATGACCCTGAGTGATGAAGAAATAATAGAAACTGCTCCTACTCTAGTTGCTACAGAAGAGGTCTGCACCGGAAGTCAAAGTTCAAAACAGGATAGCAAAGATGACAGACCTTTATTAGAAGAAGTAACCTTTATTGGAGCTCCAACCTCTAAAAATGCAGGGGGCGCCAAGGTTTGGATATGTAAGCATTGTAATCAAAGATTTACAAGCTCTTACACTAGAATACATGTCCATTTCTTTGGTTCTCAACCGGGGAAGAAGGCTGAAATTAAACGGTGCCCTGCTTTGCTCAATGATCGGGAGAAGTATGAACGCTTGTTGAATAAAGTCAAGGCGGCTGAAAAGGCGGGAGTCTCTCGATCCTTGAAAAACTCTGTGCTCAATATACCACAAAGTATTCCTTCAAAAAAACCAATTCAAGACTCCTTTGGAATAATGGAGCGAAGTATGGTGGATTTGAAAATCATGAGAGGATTGTGTGCAAACGGTAGTCCCTTTAATGTACTGTGCAATCCTCAATTTATAGAAATGGTAAGTGCCATCAACAAGGCACCGCGGGTTACAAACCTCCCTCCAGTGAGAAAGCAAGGACGGTTTTGCTTGATGAATGTGTTAGAGATGTGGAATAGGACCTCACACCGGTTAAAGATATGTGGTATTCACAAGGTGTTTCCATCGTATCCGATGGGTGGTTGAATATCAAGCATAAGCCTTTGATCAATGTCATTGACGTCAACCGTCGCGGTGCAATGTTCATGTACGCGGAGGACTTCTCTGGGTTGGAAAAAACCGGTGTGGCAATTGCGAATTTCTTGCTTGGAGCAATTGAAAGTGTAGGACCGAGTAATGTCCTTCAAGTTGTGACCGACAACGCATCGAATTGCAAAGCTGCGGGTAGGGAAATTGAGAAGGTACAAAAACACATCTTTTGGCCTCCTTGTTGTGTTCATACCTTGAATTTGATTTTCAAAGATCTTGCCAAAAAACTTGATTGGTTGATGAATACATATACGAGAGGGAAAGTTATTGCGAAATATTTTCTTAATCACACCCAAGCTTTGGCAATTTTTAGAGATAATTCAAAGCTAGAGTTGTTGAAAGTTGCCAAGACTAGGTTTGCGTCACATTATATTTTGTTGAAAAGGTTAAGGGATGGTAGAGATGCTCTTGCTACACCTATTGCCCTTAATTCTTGGAGGGATTGGGTGAAACAAGGGGGTGAAAACACTATTGTGACTGGACTGTTAGTCGCTGATACTATTAGGAGTGAGGAATTTTGGGATGATGTGGATAACATTCGTGCAATAACAAAACCAATTTTCTTGCTAATCAAGTTTTGTGATGGTGAAGGATCGAAAATGGGGGAAATCTATGAAAAAATGGATAACATGTTGGGAAAAATAAAAGATATCATGGCTAAAAATCAATACACTTCGGACTTTCCAAAAGTAGAGGCTATTGTGTTAGCTAGGTGGGAGAATATGACTATTCCTTTGCACGGTTTGGGTTTTGCTTTATCACCGCGATTTTATGATGTTTGTTATCTCGAGAAATTGGCACCCGGTGGAGTTGCTAGAAAAGCTCCAAATTTGGACAAAGAGGTTGTGTTAGGTGTGATTGAGGCTTTTAAAAAAATTGGTGAAAACCAAGAAGAACAACGGCTCTTAAGAGAACAATTTGCAAGGTTTCACATCAAGAAGGGATTATTTTCTATGGCGGCAGCTCAGATGGATGCGGTGACTATGGAGGCCATCGATTGGTGGTCAACATACGGTTCAGAGACACCCGAGTTAGCGGAGGTTGCAAAAAAAGTTTTGTCACAACCTTTGAGTCGTTCCTCAGCCGAGAGGAATTGGGGCACTTACTCTTACATTCACGGTGTGAAGAGAAATTGTTTGAATTGTAAACGGGCTGACAAGTTGGTGTTCATTCATTCAAACATTCGTCTTCAATAAAGATTTTCCGAAAGTTACAAAGTTGGCCCGAATAAGAAGTGGGACATTATTCCTGAAAGTGCGTATGTGGAAGGGTCAAGTGCAAGACTCGGTGAGCTACAATGGCAAGATTTAGAAGAAGATGTTGGTCCAAATGATAAAAGAAAGAGACCAAGGATTGACTAGTTTGCTGCACACTTATGTTTAATGTTTTGTTGAAGTTTGTTTAATGTTTATTACTTTATTTCCTGTTTTCTTGAAGTTGATGCTGGAATCCTGAAACTTTGTTTACTGTTTTATATCTTTTATTGTTGTTGTAAACATTGTTAAGTTTGTTTAATGTTGTTGAAGTTATAGAAGTTAATTGTTTAATATTATACTTGTATTAATTATATTTATACTTAGTAAATTCAATATGTTTATGGTTCACCGCACCATAAACAAAGGGTACAGCGTACCACGTACAGAAGAAGCCTATCCCCCTACATATCGGATTTCTAATTTTGACGATCCGTGTTCCCGTTTTCATACCGCGTACCGCGATCCATGTGACTATGGGTTGGCTTATTGCCCTTATGCCTTAACTTGCCACAAGCATTTTCGGCAAAATTGTATTCAAAGTAAAATGTACTTCAATGGTTAGCTACAATTTCTTCCCTCTTCATTTATTATAAATAGTCTTAAATTTAATACTCTCTTTGTCCCCCTATACTTGTCCCACTTTTCCATTTTTGGATGTCCCCCTATTATTGTCTCATACCATATTTGGTAACATTTGTGTGGCTCTAATTCATTCTTACTTTATTCACACTTTATCAACTCATTATCACCACATAATTCTACTTTTCTTAAAAACCACATCACTCTCTTCCGTCCCAATATCAGGGGACGGAGGGAGTAGTTCTCTTTCCTTAAGCTAGTAGTTCTTTTTGGCTAATTAGCTTTCTCAAGCTAAAAGAAAAGCAAGGCTCCAATGGTAAGCTATTTGTTTAAAAATTGCAAGGAAGTCCTCCGAATCAACCACTAGAATGCTCTAAGAAATTGCAAAACAAAATGATATTTATTTTCAAGGAAAATACAACAAAGTAAAAAACAATTAAAAACAATTCTTCAGACATTGTGATTTCCTCTCCTACTTACAGTACATAATGTATTTAGAGAATTATTTTACCCTTTAAGGGTTCATGTATTATCACTTACACTCCTGCACTATAAAAAATATATTCTCACCCCCTCTTGATTCATTAATGATGGTTGAATAACTTCTAATTTATGTTTAGTAAAAATTATAGATATAGCTCTATAAATTTTGATTGTGTCCACTTTGAATACAATGACTTTATTCATTCACAGATCTAGTCGGGTACAAGGACCTTTCCACCGAAAATTAAATCGACTAAAACAAAAAATGAACAAAAAGTACCCCATTAGGTATTTCAGTTTATAACTTTTGATTTTGAAATTGACTGAATTAAAAACGCAAACCAAAACAAGCTAAAATTGACCCGAACCGTAACAAACCAATTGGAATTAACCGAAATCGACTCAAATAGCACAGTTCGGTTCTCAGTTTCACCATTTTAAAAATTACCATTAGAAATTGAACAAACGAACATCGCTAATTTTCCCTTTAGATACTCTTTGTGGTCAACGAAAATGAGATCATTATACCTATAATAATAATTCGAAAATTAATATTTGACAAAATATTTGACATGGTCACGTTTCGGGCCTGTTCCAGTCCCAAATCGACTGATCCTAAAAATTAAGGAGGCCCGGGATAGGGACCTACATTTCCAATTCCAGTCCCCTGCCAGTCCCGGTTATTTATTTATTTTTATATATTTTTAAACCCTCTATACCACTCTCAACTTCTTTTTCACGTTTTAAATGGACCCTTGTTTTAAAATGTTCCTCAATGGTTTCAATGCAAAAATTAAAATAAAAAACGAAAGGTAACAGGACCGAACTGGCCAGTCCTGATCCCAAAAGTTAGGCCGCGGCGAGGACCTCTTTCCCACCGGTCTGGTCTTGATCCCTAATTTTACTTACTAGTCCAGGTCCCGATTCAAAACCGGAACTGAGACCTAGTACACCCTTAATGTGTGTCATGAAAGTAAGTATTTCACATACAATTTGAAAATTGATACAATACTCTCCTAAAAAACATTCACCAACATATATTTTAAGAATAAAGTAATATTCAAAAAATTTAGCTAAACTAAAATTCTAAATAATGTCCATTTAAACTTTTAGAATATTTTTATTATATCTAAATTATGTTAGTGGATGAATCTTAAGAGAATACTGAATCTAATAATCTTTTCTCACATGAGAATAAAGAATCTCTTAAGTGAGATGTATATTCCACCAAGATTTCTACAATCTTAGATACTCCCTCCGTCCCTTAAAATTGTTCTCACTTACTTTTTTAGGATGTCACAAAAAATGCTTCTCATTTCCCTTTTTAGAAAGTATTGTGTGGCTAACATTCATTTACCTATTTCTTAATCAATCACAACCATAAATTGCCACTTTATTCTCATTTTCTTACACTCTGATCCAAGTCAAACCGGGAAGAATTTTATGGGGCGGAGGGAGTATATTTTTGTACTTTTGAAAGTCAAAGAGATTTGTTATTTTATGCTCGTACGTTTTGATTGTGACCACTATTAATCCTATAACTTTACTCACACTCGTCTAATCAATAAATTTGTTCATATTCAGAACTATTTCATCAGGGGTAAACGTTATGGCAAAAAACACACCAGAAAGTATATCGTCAAGTTTTCTGTCAAAAAACATAATTTAATATGGGAAAATACCTCATGCGAACAAATTTATTAGTTATTAGACCAGATCTATAAGTGCGTAAAATTACGGGATCAAATTTATATATTTTTCTAAACATAAATTAGAAATTATTAAACATTCGTTAAAGGATAGGGCGGGGGTAGGAGCTTATTTTTTATATATAGTTTCAATTAGAGGTGAAGCAACAGCACGCTACCGGAGAAAATAGCCAAATCCAGGGCATACCTTTTTGCCAATAACTGGGGAGTTCGGAGCTAACCATGTATCCTGCCTCTCCGATTGGCAGTGGGCAAAGCATGAGTTTATGAACAACCCGTTTTTTCTCGATCTGGCAAAACGTCGTGTAGCTCGTAGTGTTTGATTTCTAAACCCTGCACGGAAGTTTAAGCAGTAAGATAACGGATCTCACCATACACAACTCAACTTCAAGAAACAAAACCAGTACTGTAAATGAATATCAATACATAGCCCAAGACATTATATCTGAGTTTGTATTTTGGGAAAATCGCATATATGGTCCCTCATTTATCCACGAAATTAAAATCTAAGACCTATATTTCTGAGATTGTAAATGTCACCCCTCAATTGTCCAAATTGTTGTAAATGTGGTCATTTAAGTGGTGAAATGTACTCTCACCCACATTGTATATTTCACCCCTCAAAAGGGCTACATTTACATCATTTTGGACAATTGAGAGATGACATTTACAAACTTGGGAACACGAGTCTGAGGTTTTAATTTCGTGTATAACTAAGGGACAATATATGCGATTTTCCCTTGTATTTTTATATTTATTTGGTATGAGATGTTTTATAAGAAATTACATACATATCGTACCTTGGAAAAATTCAATCTGTGAATCAGAACACTGTTTATAGTTAAGTTTACAATCATACCAATTGCGATTGGGATCGGCTGATGAAGAAGCTAAACTGGCTTGGATCTAGAGTTTAAAGTGAACTCAATCAATCAATTAATCAATCAGTACCTCAGAAACAAGAAAATATACATTTACCAAATAATACCTGCCATGAATCATATGCAGCATTGAGAATAAATAGAGGGGTTTTGAGATCGGAAATCACATACTGAGGAAAGAAGCACTGAAAAGGAAAAGGAAAAGGAATTGTATAGAAAACATTAGAAATAAAAAATAAAATAAAAAGAGAATATAACCCGCAATAATTGTTAGAAGGGCAGGCATACCCGATGTATTTGAGAGTCCACATCGAGATATTAGAGAAAGGAACATATGAGTTTATAATGCTTTTGGGTTAGACTTAGCTAGTTGATGAGATTCAATCTTTTAGAAAAGTTTCACTTATTTACTTTATAGCCCAGCTGGGTAACCTCAAGTCCTCAACCCAGTTATGATAAGATAGGTCAACATGCATTCATTCGAAATAGTGAATATATATTATCCATATGATATAACTTCTAGAAGTGTAAAACCAAAACAGAATGGGTCAGCAACAGTGGACGTACTCTAAGTTTTGGTTTGGTCCAAAATGTGTTAATAGTTTCAGAATTCATCATAAAAGTACCATATTATCTTCAATCCCTTCAAAATTGATAGGGACATGGACCTCCAATAATAATAATAGTAGTAGTAGAATTATACTAAGGAGTGTGATATTGTATAAATAAGGGTTTTGGGCTAGGTACTAGTTAGCTTGGGCCGGTCCATAAGGAATTTATTATAAATAGGAGTGGAGTAGAATAAGAGGGTAGGCAGAACTTGGAATAGGACTGGGACTTGGGAGAGACGAGGCACTCTCGAACTTGCCTCATCTGTATTGTTTCCTTTCAGTTTCAACAATTTCAGTTTTAATATCAAACAATTCAGCGCCAGATTTCTGTGTAGCTATCATTGGTATCAGAGCATCCGATCGCTGGGTAGAGTAATGTTACGTGCGCAGATGGAGAATAGTACCGCAATTGTGGAACACCATGTCACGAAGATGGAAACGATGCTGGATGAGATGATACATCATCTGCGTAAACAGCGTCACCGGAGAATTAGAGGCCGAGCGAGGAGTCCTCCGAGATGCCGTCGGCCAATTGAAAATCAGGTGTTTTCACCCGTCGCTCCTCCTAGTTCGCAACCGCGAACTGCTTCGATTAGTTCGCAGACATCTTCGCGAGCGCGGATCTCTTCTCAGTTGCGAGAACTTCCGTCCAGTTGTTTGGCTTCTTCACGAACTTCATCTCACTGTTCGCAAACGCAAACTTTGTCTTACAGTTCTCAGTCGCGTACACGAACAGTAGCTTCCAGTTCTCAGATGGCGTCTCAGTCGCGTACAGATTCTCATAGGTCGCCGAGTTCGAAGCTAATATATCATTCCAGTTCGCAGGGTTTCTTCTACCAACTTCTTCTAATTCGTCAGATTTGTGGCAATCTGAAGTCTCCAGTTCGCAGTCGCGAACGGCTGTTCTCAGTTTGCTATCGCAAACTGTTTCTCTTTGTTCGCAGCTTTCATCTCAGGCTTCCTCGCCAGGAACTGCATCGCTGAAAATGAACTCTGAGTTGAAAGAGGTTGAACCATCTATCAAGGAACCAGATCCAGATGATGATATGACTCAAACTACAAGATATCGGCCAAATCATCATGAAGGTTTGAACCCTCCTGAGGAGGATGAAAATGGAATTCGTGTGGGGAAAATGAAGGATGAACTGTCAAGGCAACTGGAGGAGCAGGTAAAAGTCACATATAAAACAGAGAGGAGGATTCAAGCACTGGCGTGTAAATCAAATATCACTGTGATGAATGTTGGGCCTGATGTTTTTGGATATCCTATTGGGCCCAATTTCATAATGGATCAGTCACAACCTTTTCTAGAGGGTGCAGGAATTGGTGCATTCTCACCTGAAGTTGTGTTGTTGAAACTGGGGCAAGCTGTTTCTGGAGCTCCTAGTGGTGAAGGTTCCAATCCACGAGGCACTGAAGGTACTATAAACTCCACCACGAGGTGGGTGGAGGTTCGGGAACATCCTATTGGGACTAAGGTTGCTGCAATTTATGTTTATCTTGAACGCCCAGATATTGATGCACCTAGAGATTCTATGGAATTCTTCAACTTGGTTGTGAGTAAAGTTCAGCAGGTCATTTCTGATACTGGTATGCATTTGAATGCTTCACCAGGATCTGATCAAAAACCTTTCCACAAGGTTGAGATGGGGCAACAGCCAAACACCAAGTTTTCTGGAATGCAAAGTATGAGGCTGTGTGGAGGTAATGTCAATCATAGCTCAACGGGGGAAGTGGCAAAAGGAGTTGGAGTTTTCTTTAGCTCAGTGTTCCTTGATGAGCAGATTCAGGTTGAGGAGAATGCTGGTGTTCATGGCATGAACACAAATTCTGCTATGGGTGAGAATGAATTTACTCAAAACATTGCTTCTCAAGAAACTAAAGCAACTATACCAATCAGAAAGCTTCTGTCGGTTGAGCGTAGCCTTCCAATTGATGGGGTGAAAAAAGCAGGAGCTATTCCATATTTTGTATATCTCCTTGAAAGGAGTGACTTATCCCAATGGCTATCTGAAGTTGCTCGGGCACTGATAATATTACATCTGGGACAACCTGGATATACAAGAATTGTCATGGAACAGGGAACTGTCCCTAATTTTATACAGCTTACTTCACCCAACGATGATGTTCGTGAGCAGGCTGTCTAGGCTTTGGGCAATATTGCTGGTGATGCTCCAACCTGTAGAGATCTTGTTCTGGGTCAAATTGAAGCTGATGGGGAGATACTTTATCACATAGTATACTATGGCAGAGACAGAATGACTGACCGCAAGAAGGATTTCATAGTTGAAACTCCTGCCTGGGATTCATCACTTTATACCCGACCTGATAAGCCTAAACATGATGTCTGGAAGGCATTCAAATTATTCATTGATGCAGGAGCTGGGCCTGCGTGAAGACTCACTTACAGAGGTGAATTGGTAGACTTGACCAGACAGTCATTGTCCAAGCTTGCAAATCAGATTTACATTAATGCAATTGCTGGAGACACTCATCCTTGTCCGCAGGATTCTGACATACTGAAGCTCTTTGCTGATAGACTAAGAGACACATCTTTACTGGTGACAAGATGTACATTGGAGAGGCTAATGGAAGTATACAGAAATTACGGTTTGAGTTTTTCCAATGGCTCTCATAAAAGTTTTGAGTATGGTTGGATCCCTGGGAAGATGTTGAGGTGTTATTATAACGGGGCTTCCAGATCAGATGCTCTTGAGCTTGTTCAAGGTCTTGACCAAAGTGAGGTCAATTCTCTTGAAAGGGTGTTGGAACAAGGGCAAAGGATACAACAGGAAACACAGATGCTAGAAGATTCAAACTTTTGTAACATAAGAGAGCATTCTGCCTCCAGGACCTTGTTACTGCTCCTTGCAGTGAAGAACATGAAGATGCAGCTTCAAGTACTAGAGCTCAAAGTCCAAAAATTTGGCTATTTACTATCACCCACATTGAGGACAAGGTGGTTGTTCAAGGGGGGAGATATGATAGGGACATGGACCTCCAATAATAATAATAATAATAGAATTATACTAAGGAGTGTGATATTGTATAAATAAGGGTTTTGGGCTAGGTACTAGTTAGCTTGGGCCGGCCCATAAGGGAATTTATTATAAATAGGAGTGGAGTAGAATAAGAGGGTAGGCAGAACTTGGAATAGGACTGGGACTTGGGAGAGACGAGGCACTCTCGAACTTGCCTCGTCTGTATCATTTCCTTTCAGTTTCTACAATTTCAGTTTTAATATCAAACAATTCAGCGCCAGATTTCTGTGTACCTATCAAAAATAGACAAGGAGCGTGAATAAAGGCAATTTGATTGTTCCCTAAACCTATTTTTTAGAAGAAAAAAAATCTTATTCACACTAGCCATCTGCCAAATCTTGCAGAAAAACTGACCAAAATACTGACACGATAATTGTCCAATGTCAAACATGATTTTTTTTTGCGATGAGTCAAACATGAAATTTAGGCTTAGTGAGCTTAGAACTTTAGGATCAGATAGGAAATTTACTCCCTCAAAGCCAATTCAAGTCGCACAGGTGCACATCAACAATGACTTATGAACTAACAGAACAACTTACTAAGGCTGGATCTCTGCGGCCAGTGCAACTACTTGGCAGGTTTTTGTTAGAGCCCTATCAAGGAAGCAAACAGGTGTGTGTTAGTTTGTTCTTCAACTAGAGAAATGTTGGGAAAATATCTTAGCTCTCAAGATGGGAGGATTAATTAGGTAATTATCCTGGAAATTTTAGTTGTGGCCTAGCAATGATAAGTTGTGCATATATCACATGTTATGTAGGAACACCAAACTGTACATTATTACGTATACAACTAAAAGAAAATGAGACACTGTAAGGCTAACATGACAGCATTTACTGTCATCTTGTAGGTGTGACTGCCAAATAGTTGCAATACAATGCATTTAACATGACAGTATTTATTATAATTAATGACAGTATTTTTCAATCATGGCAGTATTTTTTCATACATGACAGGAACAACTCCTATTTCGGGAAGAAAAACATAGTAGGCATATTTTGGAATTCCAAACCTCATTTACTTCTATTTAGGGCAATTTCCCTTTTAGTTGGAATTTTAGAAGGTTTTTAATATACATTTTTAAAAAGTGAATACTTAGTTTTACATTGTTTTAACTCTCATATTAGCCTCCAAAAATTATAAAAGAACAAATTTAAATATTTCTAGTAGATTTATGCAACTGAGTGATTGACAATAACTTTTTTTGTAATTAGAGTGGTTTCGGAGTTAGAGATGGATTAAAAACAAAATAGTGCGTATTTGCAGGGATGAAAAACAAAAAAATATTGCGGGGACCTAAACAAAGTGTGTCATATTTGAAGAGACTAAAAACGTATTTAAGCTCATAATAAGCTATAAGCTCCTGCCAAACAAAGCTTAAGCCACTCTCATAACGGAGTCATGAATGGAGACAAACTGTGTAAAATGTGTGGTATACCTGCACCTTTACTACACCCTGAAAAAACTTCTGAAGGGTGCGACCGTGAGATACATCCATCCTACAAATTCAGAAGAAAAACAAAAAGATGAGTGATTTCATTAAAAGAATGAAAACTTGTTAATGCGCAGAATTTGCAGAGGGGTCAACAATTTAGGAATTATTACGCATTCATGAATAACCCTGCATCACTCAAACACTTCACTGTAGTACCCCTTCGAAAAAAATTCCCGAATTCATCACAGTGCAATATTGTAGCAAGACCACCAGCAGAGCATCCAGAAAGAAGAGTCTGAAAGAGAACCCAAATTATGGAAAGAGCCAAGCTTGACAATTAAAAAATGTTAATAATAAGACTAGGCATATCCCCTGTAGAGTTCTAGCATGGAAAGACCCCCTCACTGCCAACACCACATGAACTATAAAGAGGTGAAGATTACTAATCACTTATTAGTAGGGACTGGGGGTGGAAACCAAGGTTTTAAATTGCGGTCTGCAACGCCTGCTGCGGCCGCAATATTGCGGTTGCGCCGCTGCCTGCAACCGCATCGGGCCGCTACACCGCTGTGTTTCCAAATCACGAAGGAAATCCGCAATGTAGCCGCGACGGAACCGCAACGACTACGCATCCGTCCGCATCACACCGCATCCGGCCGCAACCGACCGCAACGGCACCGCATCCTGCTCCGGAGACCTATCTTCTTCTGCTCTGTTTTACCTGAAATGCCGCCGGTGAAGTCTGGAACGATGAAACGATGAGCTGGTCTTTCTCAAAGCTGCTCTGTAATACTGTTTCCACTTCCCAAAGCTAAAGCTAAATCTACTCCGTTGATTTAGTATTTGTAGCTTAAGTTAGTAACGATTTGCTTAGTTGTTTAGGTATTTTATTGTTTCATTTATTTTACTTATTTTAGATATTTAATTATTTAGTCATTTATCAACAAAGTTTATTTATAAAAAAACTTTAACTACTTCATATATATTTTACCCTACTTTGTGCAATAAACTTAACTACTATATATTTCGCATTTGTTAAAGAATATAAAAAAATCATCATACCCTATTTTCAACACTAATGATAAACTTAACTACTCAATAATTAATTAACAACTATGTATTTGTTAAAGAATGAAAAAAAAATCATTCTATTGCCATTCTGTGCAAACTTAAAAATATTTCACGCCGCAGCGGCCGCATTAGCCGCACCGCAACCGCAACTTAAAACCATGGTGGAAACAGTCCCGACTTTGGAATCCGAACGGGACCAGACAGGTAAAACTGAACTGGACACCGGTTGTTTTAGTTGCAGACCGGAACTGTACCAGGTAACGTTCCAAACTGCTTCCGGTTCCTCCAAAATAGGGATTACAATTGGCTCCAGTTCAGGTCGTCTGGTTAAGAGTAAATGCATATTTGGACCCGAAACCAACAAGTCATAACCGAAACTGGACCAGTCATCCCTACTTCTTAGGGCATTAGGGTTCTCTTTCATATTTACCTGGATCCAACACCCTCACAGCCAGCATGTAGACTGTGTCTTAATAAAGATGGGTCATCTAACTCACCGCCAATGGAGGAGGTGAGTATATATTATCACTTATGACAATGTCTATCATTCATGCTAGCCGATGTGGATCACTCCGGCTATAAAAAAAAATCATAGGAAAATATTACATGACTGGCAGAACGCATTCCCCTCGACATTAATTCAGCAATTGCTGCTTTCCAAATACGTTGTCCTCTAAAATGAAGCCCGTTCTCCTGTGTAAAATTGCATCCATGTAATTTTGAGATAATGCAAAGAAAAGTAGAAAACCATTTAAATAAACCATGCGAACATAAAACCTGAATACACTTCTCACTATTGACTAACAATAAGATAAGGACCAGGGAAAACATTAAATGTCAAACCTTACTCTCACTGTCTCCAGTAAATGAAGCACCATCACAGTAACGAACTATTACTCTGTTCCAATTGTAAAAATCTGCAGTTTATGTTAACAAATTGAATTCAGAAAACACGAAAACCGGAGATTTTGAGGGGTAGAAAGAAACAAGGTCTTTATAGTTGGTCGAAATTAATTTTGTAGAGCAACAAAAAACCTGGATTTTCTTCTTGCCTATTGCTCAAAATTCCTGTAAATTGGAGCCAATTTTCCATGAATTTTGATGACCCACGATGTGTCATGCGGCTGAATTTGCAAGATCTGATGCTGTTACACCATCCCCCACCCTGCAACAACAATTCTCTCAAAAATTAAATTTCTGCTACAGACATGGTTTGGAGATGAAATGAAGATTTAAATCAATAAAGATGGCCTAGACAAAAGAAGACGGTGTGTCAATAGATCCCAAGGAATAACATCAAAATTGTTGATAATATCAATAATGAATAGAGCACCATTATTAGATAGGGACTTCATAAGTTGTTATTATCCCTTTAAATGCTCTATTTAAGGAAGCTAATACATCTATTACATGCATCTTAACATTTGCACAAATGCATACGATAGCTGGATAGCCAACCCATTAAGAAAACCATTAAATATCTCAGAATCATGGATAAAAAGCAGCATGATACATATTCTATCTTGGAAATATTAAAAAATTCAGATGAAGGAGAACGGAAAGGGGAAATTTGACATGTAAATGTTCTTTTATTTTCTAAAATGACATGAATTGTGGACAAAAAAAACTTAAGCCAACATGTAGTGTAAAATGGATCAATATCGTCTATTAAATATATCAATTTATGAAGCTTAGCCATTCGACAGGATAGTAACAAAGGATGGTTGGAGAATATAAACACAACATGTACTCCCTCGTCCCATAGTGTAAGCTACAGTTGAGTTTTGCATGGGTCTTAAGAACTAAAGGTGAAAGTTGTTTTACCATTCCAAAAAGTAAAAGTAAAAATAGAATGGATGCACAAAAAGTAAAAGGTGAGATGATAGATTAAGGGATAAAGTGGGGAATTAAATGGAGTTTAATTTAAGAAAGCTTTTGTAATTTTTGAACAATCCATAAAGGAAAATGTATCTCAGATAAATTAACATTCATATAGCAGATTATTAATAACATTATTCAAAGAATGTCCTGGAAAACCTCTAAATGAATGAGCCACTTCTTCCATCCGGAACCATACCCTTTATGAAGGTGATAAGCTGGTAAGCTCCCATCTAAGCACACTGGAGACAAGAGTAAACACACAAAGAAAACATTTAAAAGAAAAAGTTATCAGATACAGCAAGCATAATCTAATCCATAGAACATTTGGTGCGCCACATAAAAAAAGATAATTCTAAGAGGAAAAACAACAAGCTTAGATAATGCAAAGGAGTTGAGAGAATTCAAGGATCGGTGAAAATATTAACAACCATCATTAAGTTATTCAGTCATGCACATAAACAATCATTTTAGGTCGATTACGGGTGGAGACAGGGGAGGTCGAGGCCCCCTCAAGAAAAAATTTATGATGTAAATAATATGCATAGACAGTAAAAATATAGTGAAATTTTAAGGTTCGGCTCCCACAACATAAATTCTTTAAGCCAGCTCCCTAATCTACTATTTCTGGCTCCCCCACTAGTGGGGGACAACAGATCTAGTGAGACCCCATTCCATATATATGACAAAATATCTTTTTCTGGAATCATGACCCTAGTGAATTCCATTAAATGAACATAGATTCTATGGTACCCATAAGGTACCATACCGGTACCTTTTTCCACCTGGACGAATGAGAGTGTTAGCAGTTGAATTATTTAAATCTAAATTAAAAGTGAATGATAGGTACGGTACCCATTTTTTAAATTCCCTCATCTTAATAGTGAAAAAGTTTTCCTTTTTTAGTCATCCAATTACTGAACTCATTCAATAGTTATTATCTGCCACCAATACAATACACACACCTACATCACTCGCCAACCAGAGCAAGAAATTACGAGAAAGAAGATCCGGAACTCAAACATCTTAATTTCGGAAATTAATGATGTACTCCTATAAAAGACTGACAGATATAGAGATAGAGAGTGTACCAGCTCCTGTGGCATTAGCGTTTTGAATAAGAGTGAGAGGAACATAGAGTTGGCTTGATTTAGCGGCGGCAGATGAAGCAAAGGATTTATTGAACACAGATTCTAGATAGAAATCCTCCAAATCAACGCCATCCACTCCGCTCCACCCCCCAAAAGCACCCATCACAGCCGCAATGCAGACCGCCACCCAGAGTCCCATCCTTAGCTTTTCCATATCCAACGCCCCCGGAAACCTTGAAACAAATGCTAACACTGCAAACTATAAAGAATAGGCATATCTACGTTCCTAATTAATGGTTAAGTCTTTAAATTAAGTTCTCGGTGTGAACAGATTTAGGAAATCTGATTCAAAAAGGCTTTTGTTTTCTTCTTCTTTTAGTCTTTGTCAAAAAAGAGTACTGTAGTAAGTAAGGTAGCGGTGGGATGCAGATATGTAGAGCACTTTCTTGGCGAGTGAATGGTGGAAAAGCGAGTGTTTTCCGGGAATCTGAAGAATTCTTATATACGCCATAAACAGCTGCGACTTTCTGAGCTCCTGAGCTGTGACAGTTGTTTTTGTTTTTTTCTCTTTAATTAAAGGGTGATGACTCATGATGGAAGTCCAACATTTATGCCATTCAAAGATTTTAGAGGTAAATTACGTCCTACACCCAGCTGTACCGTGAACACGGTACAGCCCGGGTTTTTTAGGAGTTCTCCGCTTCTTCCCTTCGCACCGTCAGCTCTTCATCAAAGTTCACCACTCACTCATCTTCTCCACCCCTTCTCATCCCTCTGTTTTTCTTTCTGGTGTAGTTGAGAGTGTAGTTTTTACTATTTGAGCATGTGATTTTAGGAGACAAGGGGAGCCTACTTCGTTGCTGTGGAATCTTTGATGTTGTTAATCTTAAATGAGTTTTACATTAAACTTAAATGAGTATACGCCTAAAAGTAATGAACATATTAATATTGAACATATTAAAAATGAATTTTATATTAAGATCAAATGAGTACAACGTTCAAAACGAATGAGCATACACAAATGCGCTTTTTAATTTTTTGATAACCCATTTTCTAAGTTATAAATGTTCATTTGGTACCGTTTTATGCTCATTTAAAAAATTGTACATTTCAAACGTATACTGAAAAACAATAAAACAAAAGTGAATTGGATGATAGGGAACAGAGAACACTGATGCTCATTAGTAGGCTCATAATACTCAAAAAACAGACTTGATGCTCACCAAAATTGCATCAATGTTCATTTAAGAGAATCTGTGTTTTTCATCAAAATTACAAAATTGCAACCGGCTATACGGCTAGCATCGTACAGTCGACTGTACAGTATGCGCTTCCATTTTAGAGTAATTATTCTTATAGTCAGATAGTGTACATCATATATATAGATAATTGTAGATAATTGTTGATTTTTTAAAATGAGTTGTTTGTGTATGTAGATCACTATAAAGATGTGTAAAAAAGGTTTACTGATTTTATTTACAAATAGGTTTTTTGAAAAATGTTAATAGGAACATTTCCATCTTCCTTCCTTATGCTCGATAAATTCTTTTTTTAGACAATTTGCATGAAATTAGTTGACAGATCTTCAAGACATTAGACATTATCAAATTTAAGTTAGGAGTGAATTAAACAAATAAAAATTAATAAGGCTAAGATTTATGTAGAAATAAACAAGGGAAAAAATGCAAATAATCCCTCGAACTAACCGAAAAAGTGCAAATCACCCCTTTTATAGGAGGCTCTATCTGGCCGTCGCCATTTGGGGCGGTTACCGGTAGAATTTTTTGATGAATTATTTTGAGCATCTTATTCATTAAGTCTAGTTTACCCATACCAAATTTCAGGTAAAACTTCAACCGGGAAGCCAGTCAAATAATTTTCTGAAATATACTGCGCTGTTTAACTGCACGGTTATCTTCAAACATTTATGTGACTGCCTTCACGATTTAATTTTTAGCTGAAATTTGGTATGAGTAAACTAGACTTAATGAAGAAGATACTAAAAAAAATCATCAAAAAATTCCACCGGGAACCACCTCAAATGGCGACGGTCGAACAGAGCCTCCTATAAAAGGGGTGATTTGCACTTTTTCGGTTAGTTCGAGGACTTATTTGCCCCAACAATATCTAAAAGAAAATTTTCCACTTTTGGTCCCTCGAGTATTATACCACTTCCGCATTACGTACCTGACTTTCAACTTGTCCACATTTAGTCCCGACGTTTTCTTCCTTTACCATCCGTCGTCCTTCCGACCAAAACTCCGGCCGGTTGAATCATTTATTAAAAAAGGGAAGGTTAGTCTAGTAATTTCATAGGCTTAAAACGGCTAGAAGTCCATTCTCTGCATACCTGCGCTTACTCTATGAAACTTCCGGCTGAATGAGGACGATTACTCTGCGAACCCTAAAACCATATCGGTGAATGAGAACGCTTCCGGCTGGAGTGTTTGCAATCAGAATGGGGCGCAGATCGAATGGAGAAGGAAGAAGTTGTCATCAAAGTTCTTCATCAAATGTTGCTGGTAATGGTAAGTTTGTTGAATTGAAGTACAAATGGTGCTCGGTAGGGTATGGTTTTGTGCTCGGTAGGGTAGGGTTTTGTTGTTGAGAATCTTTTTTTCTCTTTACTTTTTGGGATTTGACAAATGGGACCAATTCTTTTTCTTTTTCCCTTTACTTACAATGATTGAACTACCACATTAAATGTTTTTTATGCAGCCCCATGTGATACCACGTTTACTCTAAAGTTGAGGTACGAAGGAAGAGTGAGTGAGAGTAGCAGACCATTTTACAGGGGAGGTACTACACATTTGTTTTCTGATGTAGATGTGGATGAGTTTGGCTTAATTGTGTTGAAAGAGAAACTAGAAGAAGTTGGTTGCACAAAGAAGTTAAGAAGAGTCTTTTGCTATTCAAATTCTTCACTAAATGAACTGAAAGGTGACTCTGAAATTTGGTCCTTTGTGAGTAATGGCAGTGTGAGTAAAATTGTGGAGTTGTGGATAGAATTAGAAGTTGATGATAATGGAGATACAGATGGGGACCTCTCAGATGGTGATTTTGCTTATAGTGAGAAGGACCTAGAAGACTTTTCAGGGGATGATGAAGATTCTGACCTAGGGGACTTCATATGTGAAGATGATGCTGATTTTGCTAAACACATTGATCCAACAGCTGAATATGGAGGGCTGCACAGCAACAGTGAAAGACAGAACATAGAAAGTGAATCATTAGTGGTAGATCCTGATCCAAATTTGTCTGATGATGCTTCAATACATGATTCAGATTCTGATGCTGAAAACTGGAGTACATTTTGTGCCCAAACTGATATGGAAAACCCATCTTTTAAGCTTGGAATGACATTCAGTACCAAACATGAATTCATGCAGGCAGTTCAAAACCATGCTTTCAAGACTGGTAAAGATGTGAAGTTTGTAAAGAATGACAAGATAAGAGTTGTTGTGAAGTGCAAACACCTAGACTGCCCATGGAGGATCAATCTCAGAAAGGTAGTTGATGCTCACTCTTGGAGGATACTTGAGTACCAAAATAAGCATGATGGGTGCTCTTGGGTGTATCACAATAAAATGGTTAACTCAACCAAAGTTGCTAAGAGATGGTTGAAGGAGATTAAAAGTCACTCAAACTGGAAGACCAAAGAATTCAGACAAAAGGTGTGTACTGATGAACGATTCCATGTAAGTACAAGGCAGGCTTACAGAGCAATGAGCACTGCCAAAAGAAAGCTCAGAGGTGAGGAGGATGCATACTTTAACAAGATCTGGTGTTATGTGGAAGAAATAAGAAGGACTATTCCACTAACCACATGCACTGTAAAACTCAGTGAAAACATAGAAGAGGGTGGGAAACAAAGGTTTTTGAGGATGTACTTGTGTTGGGAAGCATCTCGAGAAGGGTTCAAAAGTAGCAGATCAGTTTTAGGTTTGGATGGCACTCATCTTAAAACAATGACAGGTGGGCAGTTGCTAGTTGCAGTAGGGTTAGATGCAAACAATAGCATCTTTCCTTTGGCCTATGCTATTGTTGAGGGGGAAACAAAGGATTCATGGGCTTGGTTTTTGAACCTAGTAAGAAGGGATGCTGATATCAATGAAGAGAATGAACATGTATTCACATTGATGTCTGACAAGCAAAAAGGCCTCATCCAAGCTGTTAATGAATTATTTCCCATGGTTGAACATAGGTTCTGTGTTAGGCATCTACATGGAGTGAGAGTAGCAAGGACACACATCAAGATGCATTGTTCAAAGTGTAGAAAAGAAGGCCATAATGCAAGGAGGTGTCCTGAAGATCCAAAACTCAAAGAGAAACTGGTAAATACACTCATGATTTATGTTATTTATGTCATTTACTTATTTAGGACTTATATATACTTCATCTTATTTTTCTTTAACCATTATATTTTTTCTACACACAGCTTCAACCTAGAAAAAGAAAACCAAAATCTGCACCAAGGCATAGTGGAGGAAGTGTTGGTGAAAGTGCTGGTAATGAGGATGTGGGAGCACCCAAGGTTTCTGCTTTAGATGAGGACAACCTTATGGATATCAATATGCAATATGAAGACTTCCCATCTTTAGGACTTGAGTTTCCTATTGTTGTTTCAGTGGAAGATACTTCAATGTTCACTCAAGTGAGTGACCAAGAAGCTGAAAAACTAAGTGGCCAAGATGCTGAAAGAGAGACTGGAGAAAGGACTGAAACCCAAAGTCAGGATAGTGCTGCAAACCAGAGTGATGCTATTGATGAAAACAAGATTGATGATGTTGACAAAGACAACACCCATGGGTTTGAGCAAAGAAATACTCATGGGGTCAGGATAAGCTTTGGATCACCCCCTCCTTCTAAGACTTTCAGTTCAAAAGGTGCACAACCACAAGGGGTGAACTCAAGACATGGAAAACCAAAACTCAAAAAACTTGACATAAAAAAGGACCAACCTATTCTACCAGATCCAAAACGACCTTCAAGTCTGTTTTTTTGGGAATGATGCAGACCCAATTGACCTTGGCTAGTGTTTGATGTCAATCATTTGGAAAGGACTGTAGGGGCTTCCATTTTGCTGTAGGTTTTATTGTAGTGTTTGTTGTACCATGAACTTCAGTGTAGTTATCACTATGTTTTTTGCCCACCAGGAGATATTACAGGTTGCTATGTGTAAATGGTGGTTGTTTTGGAAGTACAAAACATTTGCTATGACTGTAATTTTAGTGTGTCTATGTTTGTAATTCTGTTTGCCCACCAGGAGATATGACATGTTGTTTATGTTTATTTTCAATGGGATGATATACCAGTGTGTTTATGTTTGTAATTCAGTTCTTTTAGTAACCATAGTATATGTTTCAAGTTAAGTGTGTTTGTAGTGAACCATGTTTTCCAGTTTATAATGTAACACAACAGTTGTAACATTGAATATGCAAAAGAACTTCATATATACATGTCATCAACATGAATATTTGGCATCAATACATTTCAAAGATATTACCAACATTCCTCAAAATTGTTCGGAATATATAAAAACCATGCTACAAGACTATTTTCTAT